GAGGTAGGCAAAACAACGCAACACATGCTGTGGTTATTGACACTACAGCACTCTCAACATGGAGCCAGGGCTGCTGCAAAACACTTACCACCTCTTAAACCTCATGCTGCACTTCCTGGCACAGTTTATGCAGGCTGCCCTTGTGGCACTGCTTGAGGATGATGACCAGCCTGGAAAGGGGAATCGCCTCACCCAGGCCCAGGTGCTCCTCGGAAGGATGGCAGGGGAGGTGTTTCATGCACCACACTCGCAGCTGGTCCAGCTGTGTAGAAAAGTGACAAGAGCAGTCATCCCAGGAGACACTGCTTGAATCCTAGCCCTCATCTCTGAGCCAATACCAAAAGGTGCTGGGACCTAGATGATGGCAATATACTTTGAGCAAGTCCATCTGTGGCCTCGATAGCAGGCACTTTCCTGCAGGGCACAGATGACTCCGGGACAAGCAGGCATGAGAAGGTGCCAGCCAGGCAAGGAGCCTGTGGGCAGGAGATGGGGATGAGCCAGCTCAGCTTCCCTTTGTGTCCCACGCACACCAGGTCTGGAAGTGGTAGCATCCCACAGAGAGAGGACTGCTATCCCTGCCCAGTGGAGGAGAGGTGGGGAGGGAGTTGGGGAGGTATGAGTGAGTGGCAGACACCACTTGCTTGAGAGGGTGGTACTGGGGTCCACTCCACAGCCTCCCAATGGCAGGTTCCCCTGGAAGCAGATGCAGCTTGAGAGTGTGGGCATGAGCCTGTGCCATGTGTAACACTAATGTGTTTCCCTGTCCCCAGCCTCCTTTGTGATGGCTTGTGGTGGGAAGGTGTCCCACCATGGAGTCGAGAGTAAGGCAGGCCTGTCCAGGAACCTTGTAGGAAGGAGCAACAGGTTCCTGTGTGGCAGCTTCAGTGGGCTGGATGCTCCAGAATGGTGCTTTATGTGCCTCCCACATGCACCGGCTACTGTCCGAACCCCAGGCCAAGAAGGCTGGGCGAGGAGCACACAGCCCCTCGCTGCCCACTGCCTCCCCCTGCATGTGTAGGGACAGTAATGGAACTCATCTGATGGGCCTCCGCTGAAGCCTGGGATACATCCTGGGAGGGGGCTACCGGCTCAAAGGTGATGACCATCTCCTGGCTGGCAGGCATGGTGTCAGTGCTGACCTCCTCATTATCCTTCTCCTCCTCCTCCACAGCTCTGCCCTCCTGAAAGCTGACAACGGGTGTGTCCAGGCCAGAGTCGATGATGAGGGGAGGCGACCTGTCCCCCTCCCACAGTTTTCAGTGGTGTGGACAGTGTGGCCACCAGGGCAGCTGTGAAATTACCCGGAGGCCAATTATTTTGAAATAAACACAGCTGCACTGTCCACTCTCAACTATTTTGAAACAGGCGTTATTCCTCATGAAATGAGGGTTTACTATTTTGGAATAAGAAGCCCATTATTTTGAAATAATTTCAAAATAACAGGCTTGCTGTTAGGATGCTTATGAGTTATTTCAAATAGCATGAGTTATTTTGAAATAATGCTGTAGTACAGATGTGCCCTCAGCAAGGGCGGATATAGGGCAGGGCGAGCAGGGCGGCTGCCCCGGGCCCCGCGCTTCAAGAAGCCCTGCGCATGCGCCATGTCAAAAAGGGGCCCCGCAAAATTGTGCTGCCCTGGGCCCCGCAAAATCATCATCTGCCCCGGCCCTCACAGTCTGTTTGTACTCCCACTGACATCAATGGGGGAGTTTTCCATTGACTTCACTTGGGACAGGATTGGGACCCTATATAAAAAAGCATTTATTTCTCAAAAAAATATTAATAGAATATTATCATTCAAGTCTGAAAACTTCTAAATTCAGCTGTATTTTAAGGAAACACACAGCTCTAATATTTTGACTGTTTGACTATTTCAAACATCTTAAAATATATTCTCAACATATCATGCTGAAACATCCTCTCAAAATACACTTCTCTGAATGCCAAAATCTGAGCAACAATAGGAATTAAATGAAACTGAGTGATGTCTTTCTGGGTTAATCTTAAGCAGGTCTAGGATTCCAAATAAAGTGGGCATAGAGAAATGTATGAACTAAAATTCAATTTCTTATGCCCTTATGGAAAAGTGAATTAAATTATGCCAAATAAGTAATAAGCTTAAAGATCCAGATCATTATGAAGTGATCCATTAGAATTTTTATCTTTTGATTGTAATCATCTTCCTTGTCAACTCTAAAGCCTTAAATGAGCAAAGTACTTAATGTGTTGGTTCAAGTTACAATATGACTAGTTTGGTGAATAGTTCCATTTACTTCAGGGCAACTTCTTGAATGTGCACATGTTTAAGTACCTCACTGAATGAAGCCTTAAGAAAATAGAGATATATATTTTTTAACAATCTGTTGCAATAGACCTGATTCTCGTACATTGGAGAAATAATGGGGCTTAACTACTTAAAGCTCAATGGAGTTTCGTTGGTATAAAATTGTAGTGGTAGGAAAATTAGGATTCTTGTTTTTTAAAAGGCTGAGAATTAAACAGCTACATTTGCAATTTTCAGAATGTAGTAAGTTTCCAGAAGTGAAGCTTCTGAGGTTTCAATACCAAGAGACTTAATTGATCTCCCAATATCATAAAGCTTTAGTTAGCAAGAATTCAAGACATGGGTTTGTAGTATATTGGCTGTGATCATGACTGTGGCATGTGTCATGGTATCCACTTATTGGATAAGAATTAGACCAATGACAATGTAACCCATGCCAAATAATTGGGGCCAGTGAGTAAATATTAGTCTTCACCAACAACTTCAAATGACATACTTGCTATTTCCCATTCTAAAGGCCAGAAATCAGTGGAAATGTATTTGTTTTATTTCATACAGATGAAGCTAATTATAGATGCAATATTAAAGCAGCTTCAACTTCCAGAACTTGTTTTCTAGTGTCAAAAATACTGCAAAGAAATGGACACCTAAAAAGTGACAAGTCAGCATTTCATGCAATGTGAAAGTAGTTCTCAGGACTTTTATCATGGATTTTCCAAGGCTAATGTAATTTAACTTTTAGTTTGCTGGCAATCTTGTAATTAAAGTAATCCAGTCAAAAATTGATAATTCACAGGAGCTTTGTTTCAGTAACATCCCAAGTAGCATTCCCTCCAAGAAAAGGGGAAAATTAAATTTTATTTCCCAATGTTTGGACAAGCAGGGGTCCCTTGCTACTTCTGTGGCCTTCAGGCACTAATATGCTCATACTTTAAAACATGTCAGTTGTCATTTGATACTGAATATATTGTGATAACATTTCTGCCTATTTCTCAGCAGAAGGAATAACCAAGTATAAGAACGGCCATACTGGGTCAGACCAAAGGTCCATCTAGTCCAGTAGCCTGTCTGCCGACAGTGGCCAGCACCAGGTGCCCCAGAGAGGGTGGACCGAAGACAATGATCAAGCAATTTTTCTCCTGCCATCCTTCTCCAGCCTCTGACAAACAGAGGCCAGAGACACCATTTCTGTCCCCTGGCTAATAGCCTTTTATGGACCTAACCTCCATGAAAATATCTAGCTTCTCTTTAAACTCTGTTATAGTCCTAGCCTTCACTGTTTCTGTTAGGATTTGGTATGCTCTTTGTAAATATATGAGACTGCCTCAAAGATACCTGGGTCCATCAACAATTTTGAACACAGGAAGAATGAAAGAGGAAAGAATTTCTTTGCTCACCACTCCAAACTTCTCTGTACTTTTTTCCCCGTGATCTCAATGCTTGTTCAAGCTATGTCGGCTTCTATTAGTGGTTTTTTCTCCTGCCCCTCCTCCTCACCCACACACACAAACACCCCTCCCTCACTAAAACCAATACCCAGCCAAGTCCCTCTCCCACATAGCTCATTCCTCAATAGTCTTCTGAGGGATATAATTTATTTTAAATGAAGGGTGGTGGTCATATGCCCCCCAGTTCCCTTGACATTTCACTGAGCCCTCAAGCGCAGCATAGTACTTTTCTTCCTGAAGATTTAAACAGGTATAAAACAGTATGCAGACTGTGTGTGTGTGTGTGTGTGTGTGTGTGTGTGTGTGTGTGTGTGTGTGTGTGTGTGTGTAGATCTAGGGATCTAGATCTTGAGATTGAGATCTAGCTAGATAGATAAATAGTGCACATAAATACACATTAATTTTCATATATCATCCTTGGGAACAGACGATAAACTGATAATTTTCTGAAGCTTCAGGAGGTAACCAAGTTAGTCTATACAGGATAAACTTAAACAACAAATGGTCTGGTAGCACTTTATAGACTAACAAAACATGTAGATGGTATCATGAGCTTTTGTGGGCACAGTGGTCATCTGAAGAAGTGGGCTGTGTCCACAAAAGCTCATGATACCATCTACATGTTTTGTTGTTTTTTTAAGTTTATGACAATTTTCTAATAGTCTTCATTCTATGTCAGACAGAAATTCACAGCAGAGTGCATTCCCTCCCCCCTCCATACACCCCCAATCTGTCCCCCCATCAATCCACCCGGCATCTATTACCTCTTTCACAGCATGTAATTTTGCTAAAAAGAACCTTTTAATTTTTCATCATTGCAAAATGTCATATATTGTTAAGTGATTCTGGGTTGCAGACAAGTCAGAGGGACTACTGGGTTCTATGGTTTCTATTCTGCTGACAGACTCCAACAACAGATGTTAGTAATCTCTTTGCAGTCAGCCAGAATGTTTTCCTTTCTGGATTTCTGGTCACAAATCAACCAACATGAAACAACATATTTTTAGTGTTTGTAAGGTGGCAACTTAATACTGCATGCATACAAATGTAATGTACAGTGGCCCCTTTTGGGATCTTACTGTGATTTTTGCTTTTGTTACTCTTATGACATTTTGCTCTATTTATACATCAGCAAGACTGCCATACTAATAATGTGAAATAAGGGTTTAACTTTAGCAAACTTAATTTGAAAAAAATTAACTTATTATATTATGATTTTTGAGCTACTTGTTTAATTTAAATCTTCACTTGTGTCTGCCTTAAAGACCCACACTTGGCTCCAATGGAAGGAATCAAATGGCAGTACCCGTCCTGATCTCACCCACTAATTCCACGCATGGGTTTCTGGGAGATTCTGGCACATTAAGGGGTAAGTTTGCAAAGAACAACTAAGGAAGCTGAGATTGGCCTCAGGTATTTCCCTCTTTTCTCTCTTTGTCACAATTGCTAATTCTCTTTCCATGTACCTGAACCAGAACCATAGTGGCTACAGTGCTGTACTGATAGGAGAGGGGAGGCCTTTTTCAGTAAGCAAGCGAACTCATGCACAGCTGGCACAAGATGGTTCCCTTTTGCCTCTTCCGTACCTATTCAGGTTCATTGCCTATTTCATAATTATTTTCCATTACTGAGGGGAAATAAGGGGTTGGTACATTATGAAGACGTATTCTAACAGCCTGCATGTTTTGATTAACACATTGAACAATTGGTCTAAGGTTGAATAAAAATGTAATATTAGGTCGGATTATGATCTCACAGGAGAATCACTGGTTGCCTTAGGTAGTAAGATGTTGTTTGATGAATTGTTGGTATGGGGTGATGATGGGTGTGTAAGGACAGTCACTGCTGGTTTGCCTATACAAGCTCTCTGATATTTGTATAAGGAAGCAAGTGTTAAGTATTATTTCATAGCTAATTAAATATTTGTGAGAGGATTTGTGCATGCAACAACATGTGTGATTTCTTAACTTACTATGCAATCAAATGGTGCAATTCCACAACAAATCAGATGAGATAACTATATATAAAAGATCAGTAAGTCACATCACCGTTCCTTTATTCATGAAAAGAAGATGGTAAGATTGTGTGTGATAAATGCCTAGATAGACTTGCATGTGCAGTCATAGTACCTGCGCAAGTAAATTAAGCATATGATTTCCAGGTCATATCTTTTCAATTTTGAAATGCAGATCTTCAGTGTGTGTTATATTTTCAATGTGCCTTGATAGTAATGTAGTGCTCTGTTGCTTACAAGCAGAGGTTGGGATGTTTCTGCACTGACAATAATGGTGCTTTCTTCCCTTCTCCTCCTTCCCCTCCGAATTCATGTTGGCAACTCAAATTTAAAAAGCCCCAGTGGGAAAATTTATGTTAAGTACTTCTGGGTTATCAAACTCTGTGCTCATTCATTGCTTCAGTAATACTTTATCTTTTGAATCTATTATTTTGCTATATAATATACTATAGTACAGAAACATGAAATTACTGAAATACATTCTGAGATACCAACAGAGAAACTGAACTCACTGCAGAACCCAACACAATAAATATGAAATGGAAAATACTGAGACCCTGATTGGAAAAAGTTTGTTTTTATTGCATAGATCTCATTGTAGATTCAAATGTTTTATCTGCTTTCTGTGACATTCATTCTTGATATTTTATCTCTAGCTACTATGTGCAAAATTCTTGCTGCCCTTTGACTGGGAAGTGGGAGGGAAAGGCACTTGGCTTGACTAATGTAGTCAACATAAGTATTGGTTCTAGTACAGGATTAGCATCTTCTCATGCATTAGGATGTGGTGCTACAGAGCGTATACAATAGTATTCCATGCTTGAGTTGGAAGCACATCCAGATCACTGCAACTCTTATGCTTTTGCTAGCATGTTGCTGGGCTTTCCAATATTCCTTTAAAATATTTTATAACTTGCAGTAGAGTGAGCTGTTTCCTAGTACTACCAAAGGTATTCTCTCTGCAGCTAGCCAGCTTACCTCCTTCAGCTCCTTGCCCCTCACCAACTGCCTAGTGCCCCAGACCAGATAGAAGCTACAACTTCTGTTTAAATGAATCTGCATTTCAGCAATGCAATTAAAGTGCTGTAATAGAGATTTTAGTTTCTTCCACTGTAGCAAATCATTTTGACAGCCTTTATGGTACTGCTATTACATTCACAGAATTTGATTCTTCACTTTTTTCTTCCCCAAGCAACTTCCTCATTGGTTTCAATGGGTGATTTACTTTTAAATGTCAACACTAGGTCTTTCTGAGGGAAAATGTTCATTGGCACCTTCCCTTAAAAAATGGCAATATTAACATACAGCCATTTTTAGATTATAGTGGAACATTGCATTTTCCTTACTTGTATCACAAACACTGTACAAAAGCAGTGAAACTCACTTGTATGTTGCCCACTTGAATGACCCTAGTAAAAGTGGACTCAAACTTTCATTTAATTTAAGAAAAAATCATTATTGATGAGAGGTGGACCACAGTGCAGATGCCATGAAAAATGGCTTTGCATTGGGGAACTAAGAGGATGTTGGGAAGGAAGCAAGAATAAAGTCCTCATTCCGGAGGACAGCGAAAGGAGCCATTGTATAACTTACCTGCTTACACTATATCTTCCAGCTCATCTAATTGGTTTGGATCAAAGAGAAACTCTGTTATTTGTCCGACTGAACCTGGTTTTCCTCTGGGAATCATAGGGAGTCTTTTGGTTTTATTATTTCACATTTTTACTTGTCCCAGCATTTCCATGTGTTCCTACATACAGAAAGTAGAAGAATAGAAATAAAATAAAACAAAACACTTCAAATGCAGTTCTGGTGTAAGGAGTCTATTATCATCAGTACCCACTAATCTGAGTTTGGCCCAAAGTGGAGATAATAAATAGCCATTGGTATGAAAGGAGACAAGCATATTATCTGAGGTTTTATAGAGGCACCCCATGAAAAGTTAAATTTTCAAAGACTAGAAGGCTATAAAGATATGGTGGAATTATTAACAAGAATAATTGCCCTGTCTCTTGGGTAAACAAGTGTATGCATTTTGCCTTATGTGTAATTATTATAAGTGACTTAGGTTTGGTCCAGAGCCATTGACTTGGAAAGGCAATGGATCAGGTCCTTAACAAAATTTTATTGTCATAAAAATTACACCATTTTATGACACTCATCTCTTTCCTCTGGGTCCAATTATATGTTCTAATTTACACTGGTGCAGTGGGCATTGCCATCAATGGTAGTTGCACCTGTGTAATTACATAGAGTTTGATGCTATTTCTACCTTGAGTCATATCTGCTTGCAATGGCCCAAGTCCTGTAATTGACAGTATTGGAACAATTTGTTGCATCTCTGTGTTACTTATTCCTGAATTTACAATTTGTTTGGGAAGTTTCTGTCAGGAAATTTTTTCCTATGGAAAATTGTCCTTCCTCTAGAATCAATACTTTCTGTGGGAATTTTTTTTAAAATACAATTTATAGAAAAATCATTCTCACCAGCTGCCTGCCTGTAAAACTCTCCTGGAGAAGGAAGTTAGGTAGTTGGAAAGCCAACACATTCTATTTTGATTCTACCCACCAAAATGTCAGAGTTTTATGGGGTTTTTTTCCTGAATTGGGACACACATTTTCCAAAATCTTCAAATGTTCTTCAAACTGGAAACCTTATTTTCTAATCAGCCCTAGTTGAATTGGTATCTGTTATGGCAAATATATATTTTAATCACCATGGCAGTGTTAATACAATAAAGTAGAGGGAGCTAGATTTTATTCTAGTTCTCAATCAAAAGTGTTATCAGATCAAATCACACATCTTTTACTTAAGATGTCATCCAAAAATAACTCTGCTTTATTTTCAAATGCCAGGATTAGTTTGCAAGTCTGGCAATTGAATAGTTTTACTTATGAGCCAACCTGAAATTGAACAAATGATGGATAGTCATTATCTAAATCTACGGTGCCAGTTTGAGAGTCACTTTTCAAAGTTTAAACATGTTTTCAGCACTTTTAGAGTAAATTGATTTGATTTTTTTCATGACTCTCTTAAAATCTGTTAGTTGATATTTTCCAGTGGAGCTTCAAACTCTATTGGATTTAATTAGCCAATATTTTCAAAATTATATTAAGATTATAGGAGAACTAAGCCATATTAAATGAGTATTGACCTCAAATACACTAATTGCTTCTAAAAAACTGTTAATATCCATTCCAGTTTTGATGCATCAGCGAAGTTTTAAATTATAACTGTTCTCTATTCTTTTTTATTCTTGTAATTTAGGAATGGGTAGAGAAATCCAAGGGAGCTGTTCATATTTCTAAAGCAACGCAAATCTACTATATATTTGAGAGAGTTTGTCTGTGTGTGTCTGTTCAAGATCCCCTGCTCAATAGTAAGAGCTGGGACCACCAAACTTGGTATACACCATTCTCTTATAACTTAAAGCAAGGTAAGGGTCTGGTTGTGCCAGGAAAATGGGGTATGCCTGGGATGTGAGTGTTTCTCATAAAAACATAAACAAAAGAAACAAAATCGTGAGATAGGTGAAGGGTCTGCCTGTATATACCCCTTCTTGAAGGCTGTGTCCAGACTCAGGGGTTTTTTCGGGAAAAGTAGCCTTTTTCTGAAAAAACTTCCCCTGCATCCAGACTCAAGCCGCGTTCTTTCGAAATTAAATCGAAAGAACGCGGCTTTTCTTTCGATGGCGGTAAACCTCATTTCACGAGGAAGAACGCCTTCTTTCTAAAGTTCCTCTTTCGAAAGAAGGCGTTCTTCAATGTAAATAGGGCTTCTTCGAAAGAGAGCATCCAGACTCACTGGATGCTTTCTTTCAAAAAAGCAAGCCGCTTTTTCGAAAGTTCAACGTGCAGTCTAGACGCTCTCTTTCGAAAGAGGCTCTTTCGAAAGTATCTTTTGAAAGAGCCTCTTTCGAAAGAGGCTTGCAGTCTAGACATAGCCTGAGACTGCCCCAGCTCTGAGCATCCCTTCCTACACCCTTTAGAGAAGGCCAGGTGGTTCTGAAGCTCATCTCCCTCCCCCTCAATTCATACAAAAATACTGATGGTTGTTCGCCTTCATTGGGAAGCAAGAGGAAAGTGCACAGTTTGATCCATACCTCACTGAGACTGGGGAGCACAGGGGGCAGATGAATCTGAACCTGTCCCAGATGGGGGACATGAACCCCTTTCCCCCAGGCTGTGCCTGCTGGAGCTACAGTGGCCATGGAGAGGCACTTTTCACCTGGCCTCAAGTTGCTGTGATGAGAGAGGGCTGCGGTAGTCCTCTCTCCCCGGGACAACCTGCATACTGAACCCTCATTCCCAGCCCACATCAGAGCAATGATTTCAATGAAGCATGTACATTTTCC